CACCCACCGACTCCCCCCCCCCCCCTGCCACCCATCCTCCAAGAACAAGCTTCCCAGACCCCTTCCACCCCCTTCCCTCTAAAAGAGCATCCCTTCCCCCGCCACCCCCTTCCATCCGGCCATCCCCCTCCTCTCAAGGGGTCGCCATCTAAAAAAGCGGTGTCGCAACAAACAAAAAACCACCTTGCACCAGCCCTTGCCCCCACCCCTTCCCACTCCTCCCAATCCTTCCACCCCTTCCCACCCCCCTTTTCACCCCCTCCTCCCAGGAGTCGTCCTATGGCTTTGTTTGCAAAAATTTTGAACTAGAAGCCCTAAGTGCCATGCTTGTAAGAGTTGTTGGCAAGAGAGTTTTCCGAGAGGTTTTCCCCGCAGTATGGCATTTGATCATTTGTTATTGCTCGGAGGCTAATTGTCTCTCGCACTCACGCGACATCTGATCAATGTATATGCAAATTGGGGAGCATCGTCCCGTCGCATCACCGTGTTTAGCAACAGTTTCCAGCAAGAGTGCTTCCTCTAGGCAGCATGCAACGTCAATAAGGGGGTCGATGGTCGCCTTGGTGCTCCGGCCACAATAATCCCATGTGGTCCCCTGTGCATGCTCGCCCCGAAGTGCACAAGTGTTGTCGTTTCTGGCCGCCGTGCTTGGGCCGGGGCCGAACAAAGCTTGCCCAAACTTTTGAAAAACCTCCACCGTCAACTACCTGCCCCATAGCCCATAGCCCACGTGTCTCTTGTACCCATCCAAGTCTAGCTTCCACAGCCTTACTTCCCAGCGCACAGCTTCTATGCGGAACAATGGGAGGGGCTGCGGTTCAGATGCAGGACCTTGTCAGCTGGGTTGCAGGGGCATCCGCGCAAAGCAGGGTGGTTGAAGGTCAGTACTAAACTATGGCCTTTGTAAAATGATACAAATGGCTCACTTGGATTTTGGGCTGCGTGAGAGTCGCAGGGTCGTTTTGGACTTGAGTTCGCTTTAGGCTTCAGGTTCGTTCATCTAGTGCATTCGCTGGTAGGCATCTCAAAACTATCCACAAAACAAATCCAAAGAGGCATTCAACGAATGAGAGACACCCAGCAAGGATTCCTGCAGGGGCCTTACTTCAGAGCCCTCGAAACTGGGTTTTGCCATGCCGATAAGGAGCTGCCTAGTGACCGGCAACATGTTTCATTGAACGAAAAGCGTGATGAGCAGATCTGCTTATACTTCCTTTGCGCACACAACTGGGGGCGCACCAAGGTCATGGTCTTTGCCAGATCCTCCACTTCCCGGGTGCATAAAGGCATTTCTCAAAATCATGGTTCCCTTACTCTCAAATATTCGCCAAAGACTGAGGCCATTATTAGGACCTCGCAGTTGGCCTCGTAATTTTGAGATGGCATCCTTAATCCCAACAAGACAGCGATCATTCAGGGTTTAAGGGTTTTGGATTCAAAGTTCGAAGCCTACAAGCTGAGACATGCCACGCCAAGGCCAATCCCTGATCGATGGGATGCACCTCCACGCGGCAGCAAAGTCCCTTGAGCAAACTCATCACATTAGCAGGAACTGATGTGGAGGATGTAACTTTCTGATGTATGATTGACGCCCAACCAAAGGCTGTCGCAGTTCCGGCTTTTCGGACCATGCTTGAATGTAGGGTACTCTGCAGTTATGAGCAGTAGTCATCGACAACGTTTCCAACTCTTTGACAACATGTAGGCGGAGCTCACCTGTTTCTAGCCCGGAAGTGGACTCCAGCTTGCCTGTCGAGGCGTAGAAGTATGTAGAGGTGTTCTCGTCATCCCTTGCGAGTTAGTGCGACTACGAACGCAAGTAGGCCTACATACATTTGAAGCTGCCGAGTCGGCGCAAGTCCCCCTAATTGTTGGTTACAACAGACATTTTTAGGAGGGTCGCGGCCTGAAAGAGGAGA